CATATATATTACACAAATATATATTACACAAATATATATTACAGAAATAGATTTAAATAACCAAATCAAAGTGAACATAGCGTCAGTTTTTAGATGACTGTTCTAAACATACATATATATTACACAAATATATATTACACAAATATATATTACAGAAATAGATTTAAATAAGTAGCAGTGGTATTATGACAATATTTTTTTACAGAGGGGTTCATGGGGGAGGGGGTTGTCACTGTTTCATATAATATGTAATCGTAATCACTATCGCCCAAACTGTAAGAATACTACTACTTCATCGTGATGACGTTGTTGACCTTGTCAACATTTCCCCACCACTATGCAGTTTGCTTATAAGTAAATTTAAATAGAGGTGCCACATCAGTTGTATTTGTTTCTGTATTGTAATTTTTAAAAATTAATCATACGATTCAAACTGTATATATAAAGTAATTATGTGTGAAGTTTTATGTATAACATTTTCTAATTCAATTATTCGTAAGCAAATACATTATACAGTTGCCTTAAACTTAACACCCCTCTTGCCAAGTGGTACTAACCGTAGAGGCTTTTTAAACATTGCAATGCATCATAATGGTTATTTTTAGAATGGCAAACTGATGCAGCTGTTAATACGTGTTGTAAACGTAGACACTACTAGACTAGCACAATAATGCTTAATTGCTGCATGAAAAGAAATCTTGTGATTTACATAGATGTGCGGACCACAAATATTTTTTTAAACAAATATCATTGTTTAAAACTTTGAATTTAAAAAGGCGCCACTTTGCTGAAAATGGCCAGAAGGGGAGCTGCCGCTCCCCGTGCTCCCCCCCCCCCCCCTGCGTACGCTACTGCCCCCCCACCTCACCCCAGAATGGGATAGGCAGTATTTGTGTAGAGGGGCTAAAATCATGATATATAGGCCTACTATTACAATTTTCCTGCTAGATATTTTGTCTGAGAAATTTTGTCTGAGATCATTTGTCCATGATATTATAATAACCTGAGGGAATTCCCGTTCTCGAAAAAGATGTCTTTAGCTACGTCAACTTTCTTTGATTAAAAATAATAATTAGTAAAAAGTACTTTCAGTGTATAAAATAAATAAAAGGCAGTATTTATAATACCTAAAGCATTTCACTTAATCAATCCACGCTAATGATATAATTATTTTTTTCTCAACACCAAAGCATAGTAATAAAAAGGACATTTGTTCTCCACGATGTAATGGTTTTCTGTAAAGGGAAGTAATTGTGGTTTCTTAATTTATCAAGGGAAGTAAGGAGTGCTAAAGAACTAAATGTAAATAATTTTCAGACACAATTAAAATTAGTGTGAATGGTAATACATTTTTGAACATTTTTATTCGATTGACATGCCGACAATTATTACTATAAGTTTGAAAAATGAAAATAGTTTACATCACCTTCAATATTAAATTTTTGTGAGGGTAAGGCCCATTTTAAAAACAGATTTTACTTTAGAACTAGCGATCCTTTGGGCAGATATTGTAGAACTCATATGTTTCTTGACCTTGGATTATGAAGGGATTATGTTTTCAGCACTATACACAGCTGATTTAATTTCCTTAGAGTGAGAGATGTAGCCTTGGCGGACTAACAGAAGTTCTAATTACTTGATACTTTCGGGTTAGCAGTCCAGCTCTTTACCGCTGGGCCTCACTGTTATACTTTTTCTCTATAAGTAAAGTTCGGGGCAAGTGAAGCAGAGTTCACTTGTTTCTGTAACCTCGGCCCATAAGCCTTTATTTGCCCTTTCGTCCCTGGGCCAGATTCGAACTCGAGACTTACGGGTTAGCAGTCCAGCTCTTTACCGCTAGGCCACTCTGTTCCTACGTTTTCATTATGGCCTATACTAAAGTTCTTATTTGAATTCGCAGATTGCATCGACGTCGACAATAATTGTCACAAGACAGGTGAGGTCTTTCCTGCTAGATTGAAGCGTAAACCGTACCAGAATTGTTCTTGTGTATTGAAAGGAAGAGAGATCTATTTAGCATGTCCTGACGCAAAAAGTCAAGTGGCCTATTCTATTGTAAACTCCGGCGACAATTATTGGATCTCTATGATGTACATTGACTTTAAATAAACAAAAATTGTATTGTCTTCTGAACATAAGTGTACTTTTTCTTTTATCTGGACGTCGTTTTGATTATGATATTGCTAATGAATTTGTTGCTGACAGTTTGTAAAATTAAACATTCTATCGAATATCTAGGCATTGTACACCACGAAGGGAAAGAGACGTCCAAATAAAAAAAAATATGTATATAAAATACAGCGGTCAGATGCTGATTAGGGCACTTGCCGGCGCCGATGCCGCTTCAAATTTGGAAGCCGCATCCGAAAAATACAAACAATCGGGTTTGAATCCCACGACGAGTGGGTCAAAACTGACCACGACTGACCAGCGCCTTATACAAAGTAAAAATAAAATCTCAACCACGTATTACCCCCCCCCCCCCCCAACGGATAGTTTTATGAGTCTGTAGACCAGTGCCATGTGTGCCAGATAAAAATGTGTTATATCTGGGGAATGTTGTTATAGGAATTATAACTAACCATTCGTAAATAAACTATACAACCATTGTAAATGAAAAACCACCTACTGATATAAGCCTACACGTTAAAAATATCCAATCGTCAGGCTCCTACATCCTTCTGTGAGGGGGTAGCAACGATTTCGGGGTTGGGGTTGGGGAGGGGGAAATGTGAGTGTATATGTGTGTGGGTGGTGGGGGTGGAAGGGATGGATAGAACTAGAAAAAAACAGTGTTCCTTTCAAGGAAACTTAGAAATCAGTTTAAAGTGGGAGACACAGCCCATTCACTAAACATTGTAATTTAAAAAAAAAAAATAAAAAAACATAAGTGAGTTTTCAAACAGATTTTAGGGTAGGCCAACTTATGCTCTGTACACCTGGCTAGTGTGTAGAATGGACCTCGGTAAAACACTCTACCATATGGGAAATCTATTGCTCATAACCCATGCCCTCGCCGATGGATAAAATGTGACGACACAATGAAATATTCGGTCTTTTATGTTCCTCACATGTTAATTTTTCAGAGGAAATTGAATGCTAATTTATGGCGACATAACTCACTCTTTAGAGCATTAATGTTAAAATAAAAATAGTTTTTAAAATCATAGATGTAACTTAATATAATAAAATTAAAATAATTAGTTTTAGTTACTCGACATATTATGTTCAACAGAATTCCTATCACGATATATTTCATACATTTCCCTGTCATTCTGTAATATACGTAGGTTATATGTTAAACAGGCAGAGGTCGGGTGTTACCCGGTGCGGTACTTAATGGTGTCGCCCCCCAGAGGCGTAGCGACCCTTCCCGGGGTAAAACATTCAGGTTCGCAACCCTCTCAAGTTTTTGATTTGCAACCTCCCCCCCTCACAAGTTTTTCTCTATATATTTTTGCGTTGGTGTCACCCCCTAAATGGTGTCACCCGGTGCGGTCCGCACCCCCGCCCCCCCCCCTCGCCAGAGTTAGGATTTGTGTTAAGGTTAGGGTCGGGTTTTGGTATACGGTGTTTGTTTAGGGATAGCGTTCGGTAAAGAAAATGAAGTGCTATTCGAATTTCCAAATAAAGTCTCTATTGCTGGATGAAATAGTAAATATTTATACATACTGTCCTTTTTTCAAGTAAATATATCCATTTTCTTTCTTTTGTATTTCTTTATTAATTTCTTGACTGTTATTATTAAAACCTTTTTTTTTTTAAATCGGGCATTTCACACTTTGTTTGAGTAATTATTGTCATGCTAAATAATGCATGTAGTGCCTAAAAAAAAATCTAGAAAACCGTTTATATTTCATACATTGCCTAACAAAGACCGAAAATGTATACATTGCCTACACACACACACAAACACACACACACACACACACACACACACACACACACACACATATATATATATATATATATATATATATATATATATATATATATATATATAATATAGGCTATATATAATAAATTATGATACAGAAAATTCTTTTAAAGGGAATTAACCTAGCTTACATAGTTTTGCTAAAATATTAACGAAGCTATTTCCCTTTGACCACCTCTCTGAGCGGCACCTTCCTTAATGTTTCCGATATAAAAGAAATTAAATATCAGTGGACACTAGCGTTATTGAATTATGTAATAACAAGTTTATTCCTCGTCTGAGACGGCATCTATTCATGATGTGTCGGCTAGTGTCTTAGAAAATTTGCAATCATGCAATTCTGTATAATCCATCCTGATGGCACACCGACTTGAAGTGGTGGGATGGCTTGTGTGCCCCAGCGACCCACAGAGCTATGCCGGAGGCAGCCTATTGCTCCTGGCAGGTCTAACCAAATCGGACAGATCTGCGCCGGTAGGGGCCAGACCAAACGTTGTGCCCTGGTCCTCCAGGTTGGGGGTTGTGCGATGGGCTAACTACTCCTCCACATAAAACAAAATATAGTTACAGAAACCGAAGCCAAATATGAAATTAATCCAGTCCTCGGAAGAACCAGGGCTCCACTTAGGAGAAGTATGACGCAATGCAGCCAAATCCGCAAGGAAGCTACAGAGCCGACCCCCCTTCTTCAACCGAGGAAAACTAAATTCACAGCCCCAAAACTACTGTCGCAAAAGAAACCTATCCTCATTGAAACATGGAAAATCAGAACACTATGGGAAGCAGGGAAGTGTGCACAGGCAGTGAAAGAAATACAACAGTATCATCTTACATTGCTCGGCCTGTGCGAAACAAGATGGAACACCTTTGGAGAGACAAAATTCCAGACGGGAGAAACACTGTTATACTCGGGAAAAGAAAATGAGGACGACCCACGAGAGGCAGGCGTAGCCTTGCTATTGACAAAGGAGGCAAAAGAAAAAGCTTGATGGAATGGGAACCTGTATCCGATCGAATAATTAAAGCTAGATTTGAATCCAGGTTTCAAAAGACCTCCATTATCATGTGCTACGCTCCTACGAACAACGCAGACGAGGAAGAAAAAGACCGCTTCTACAAAGAGCTTCAATCGGTGGTTGATAAGGTACCCACGCGCGACATGCTGATCCTCATGGGTGATTTAAATGCCAAAGTAGGCTAAGACAACAGAGGCAGGGAAATGGAGATGGGAACCAATGGCCTAGGGGAAATGAATAAAAATGGTGAACTCTTCACAGACTTTTGTGCCTCAAATGAGCTTACTATCGGCGGTACACTTTTCACCCACCGAAGTTGTCATAAAGCCACCTGGATATCACAAGATCATCATACCGAAAACCAGATTGATCATGTCGCGGTACGGCGTCGCTGGAGGGCCTCACTGCAGGATGTGAGAGCAAAGCGAGGAGCAGACATAGGATCCGACCACCACCTGGTTGTTGCTAAACTGAAGATGAAGCTAAAGGCAAAGAAGAGGTAACATGAAATTGATCCACGAAGAAGATTTGATGTAAGTAAACTTAAGACGCAAGACAACAGGACAAATTTTCAAGTCACCCTAAAGAATCGGTTTGAAGATCTACAGACAAAAGAAAAAGATTTTGATTCAGTTGAACACACCTGGAAAATATTTAAGCAAGCCACTATTGAAGCTTGCGAATAGGCTCTAGGATGTAGAGAGCCCAACAGGAAGCCCTGGATCACAGATGATACATGACAGAAGGTGGAAGAAAGAAAAAGCCTAAAGAGAGAACTAAATCAAGCAAAAACACGGCAGCAGAAACAAGCAGCAGCCTCTCGATATAACGAAAAGGCTAAAGAGGTGAAAAGGAAACTAAGAAATGACAAGAGATTGTTTATAAATGAAATGGCAGAGCAGGCCGAAACAGTTGCCAGTAAGGGAGATCTCAAGACGCTCTATGCAACAACCAGAGCTCTGAGTGGGAGGAAAACCAATCCCAACAGGCCAGTGAGGAGCAGAAATGGTAAACTTCTAACGTCAATTGAGGAACAATTGGCACGATGGAAAGAGCACTTTCAGGAAATACTAAACGGCCCAGCACCTCAAGATCCACCAGACCTGGAACCAGGGGAACCCCTTAACATCAATACCGAGGAAATCACCAGACAGGAAATTCTCAACGCCTTAAATAGTTTGAAGAGTGGCAAGGCATCAGGACCAGATAATATCCCAGTAGAGGCACTAAAGCAAGGTGGAGAAGAAGTAGTAAATCGACTTCATAAATTACTCAACTTGGTCTGGAACACAGGACAAATCCCAACCGATTGGAAGAGGGGCCTCCGTGTGAAGTAGCCTAAGAACGGTGACTTATCTCAGTGTGGAAAATGGAAGGGTATTACCTTGTTGTCCTTACCAGAGTTATTTTGGACAGAATGAAAGAGGCGGTTGACCTTAAGCTAAGAGAGGAACAAGCAGGATTCAGGAAAGAAAGATCTTGTACAGATCAAATAGCCACTCTTAGAATTATTGTAGAACAGACGATAGAATGGCAGGCCCCGCTTTACATCTGCTTTGTTGACTTTGAGAAGACCTTTGATAGTGTGGATAGGCAAACAATATGGAATCTGTTGAGACACTATGGTGTACCTGCTAAGCTAGTGCAAATAATCCAGCAACTTTACAATGGATTTTCATGCCAAGTTAGCCATGCTGGGAAACTGTCTAAATAGTTCCAGGTCAACACAGGTGTGAGACAAGGATGTCTGCTGTCGCCCCTCCTCTTCTTGGTGGTTCTCGATTGGGTGACACGCACAGCCTATGCCAGTTTTGGAAAAGGTATTCAGTGGACACTCACGGGGAAACTAGAGGATCTGGAGTTTGTAGATGATCTTGCCTTACTCTCGCACAGGCTACAAGACATGAAAGAAAAAGTTGATGCATTAGGAGCCATCTCTCAGCGCGTAGGTCTCAAGATCAACAAAGAAAAGACAGAAGTGATGAGAATTAACAATAACTAGGAGGGTCCAGTGACAATAGACGGAAGACTGGTAAATGATGTGCAAGAGTTTGTCTACCTTGGCAGCAAGATCAGCAAAACGGGAGGCACAGAGAAGGACATACGCGCTAGAGTTAATAGAGCCCGCTGCGCTTTCACAGTCCTGCGACCCATATGGAAAAGTTCGGCCATCTCCATTACCACAAAAATTAGGAAATTTAACTCTAATGTCAAGGCAGTTCTGCTGTATGGAGCAGAGACATGGAGAGTCTCCAAGGCAAGCACAGCAAAGATACAGACCTTCATGAATAGATGCCTTAGACAGATATTGAAAATTAGATGGCAGGACAAAGTGCCGAACATAGAACTATGAAGGAAAGCTAGGCAGGAGCCTATGGGTGTGCAAATAAGAAGGAGGAAGTGGCGCTGGGTGGGTCACACACTGCGAAAGGCTCACCCAAATGTTACACGGCAAGCGCTTGAGTGGAACCCCCAGGGAAAGCGGAAAAGAGGGCGACCAAGACAGACCTGGAGGCGGAGTCTTCTTGAAGAACTGAAGCCAACAGGGATGTCTTGGGAGATGGCAAAATTAATAGCCGGGGATAGGAAGAAATGGAATGAAATGGTGGAGGCCCTATGCTCCATAAGGAGCAAAGATGACTAAGTAAAGTTAGTCAAGTCAATTTTGTATAATATCTGTATATTTAATTAATGGGTAATAAAATAAAAGGGAGACTACTACAAATAAACGAGACTATGAGCCCCGGAATGATAGTAACGCCTCTGTTTCAAAAGACTTTCATTTACTTCTGCTTTACAGTAGGGTTCTAGAACCGCTTTCCTGTCACTGCTGTTTCAAATAAAGTAATCAGGGAAATAGAAAAACAACGCGTGGTAGCAGGGTACATGAAAGACCCACTTAAGTTTTACTGGGATTTAGTTTTCCGAAAATAGTTGTTTAAGACTTGTGTCTAATGATACTTAAAATAAATCAACGGGGTTTGTTGTTTATATTTTTGATGCCGTAGGCAAATTTTGATTTCAGGATGGTTAAGTGAAATCTTTTGTGAGAAAACCAACTCAGGCGTCTAAAAAAATACACCATTAGTAGCAGTATAATATTATATAATATCTTCATACCGAGTCAATTTCTTTTCTAAACCGGAATTCATTAAGTCCTTATTTCTACAGATTTTTATTAAGAAAAAAAAAAATTTTTTTGGTTGAAAAAAATGCTTTCTGGCAACAAGCATTTGGAACCATTTGTGACCAGCTTTTCAAGCCTATAATTATTGTAATAATATAATTATCTCAGCCGTATTCCGAGTGATAGGAAAAGATAAAATAAAATAAAAGGGAGGCTACTATAAATGGCCCTCGCCCAACAAAGATGCATATTCACTAAACGCAATCGAACGTATACACATTGACAAAAATAAAATAAAATAAATATTATGTGTTTAGAAAACCAACCTTAGAATACAATTTTTGTACATATAAAAAGCAATAAAGGTAAAACATAACCCAGTCAAACTCTAGTAACCTATATGTAACATTAGATTTAACACCCAAACAGCTATGGGGCCCATGATATTTGTACCATTGTAGCATTCCATAGCTGACCATACAACCTGTTGTTTCAACCAATGTTTCAATACCCACATACATTCACAGTCTGAAATCGCGTTCATTGTATAACTAGTTCAATTAAATCGCTGATTTCGGATCTATTCTTTTATTTTGCCGATACTTTAGTGTATACGCAGTAGTTTTAATCTGATGCTGGTCAGTACAACAATTGTGTTTGTTTGCAACTCAACTAGAACCTTATACGAGTTTAGGAGTTAAGTCTAAAAGATAAGCTTCTAGGATTTAAATTCCATGTCAGTTGTTTTATTATGTTGCTACTGGACTGCATTGGGTTAAAAGATTTGCTGGTGAGATTTAAAACAGTGGTATAGTTGAATTGTGAGTTAAGTCAGGAATTAAATCCAGGGATAGGTAAGCTAAAATATGCTTATCTGTTTTAATGCTGTATTAATCCAGGTTTTAAAGAGAGATGCGTTTGTTAGATTAACCCGGAAGATTTAACCCCAGGACGATTGTAAATGTATGCTGGTAAAACAGCGGCGTAGTCACGGGTTGAGTTACGGTAATATTTAAAACTCGGAACAAACCAACTCTTTAAATTTCTGTTAGTTGTAGGAAACTCGAAGTATGGGTAGACGGAAAAATTTTTAACATATTGATGAAACCCTTCTTATATATCTGATGATATATTTGATGAACTTTTACTGGCAAAGAAAAGTTACTATTAATTAATTACTATTGACTGGACAAAGTTCCCATTCATCGAACGAAGTTACCATTCATTGAACGAGGCTACTATTCTTTGAACGAGGTTACCACTCATTGCACAATGTTACCATTCCTTGAACGAAGTTTTGATTCTTTGAGCGAAGTTACCAGGGCTTGATGGAAGCAAAATGTTTGATTAAGAACGAAGAAGAAGAAGAAACAGGTAGTCTAATTTAACATACATTTGAAATCCTCGCTCCCCCCAACCTGTGTATTCCGACCTCTGGCCAATCCGCCTTTGGATGCAATCAATCGAGTGCATTGTATTTCTCCTATAAAACAAGTCGCTGTCTCAGATTGACACATTCCTGCTGCTCAGTTCAGGCCATCTCAACATGAAAATGGTACGTCAAATACAGTTTTTGGTATTGATATAACAACAAAATTATTTAAAACTTTGTGCCAATTTGTGAATACCAAGAATAACATTTAATAAAAAAAAAGATACATATACAATAAACTTGAATCTGAATGTTACATATCAAAGATGACGGTCTAATTGCACTAATCGACCTTCGCATTCATGTTCAATACTATATTTAGTAAAATGCCTAATTTTCTGTAAGCAAACAGCAATATGATAGGAATTTAGTAAATTATGTACAGAGCGATTAATAAGTAAAGCTATTAAGTTAATCAATGTTTTTTTGTGCATTCAATATTACGTTAGGCAGATCGGTATATAAACAGATGTCCAATTGTCTTAGAC